AAATCATCCTCCATCAATAATAATAATAATAATAATAATAATAATAATAATAATAATAATAATAATAATAATAATAATAATAATAATAACAATAATAATAATAATAATAATAATAATAATAATAATAATAATAATAATAATAATAAAGGGAATGAAGATAAACATGCCTTTAACATTATATTCATCATATTTAACAAAAATATGTGTGAAAAGTAAAATTGGTTATTAATGATGAAAATGGCTAAAATACGAAAACAAAAGGAACAAGAAAAATTGATATCTCGTTCATGCCTCGTTGACCTGACCAAATAGATTAGTAGTTCAACCAATAAGTCATCTAGTTATTGACCAAATCAATGGTTTGGATTAAAATATACTTATAAATTTGCTTGTTACATTGGTTTTGATAAAAACATTATTATTATTATTATTATTATTATCATTATCAATAATAGTATTTTAAATTACCACGTACAACGCACATAAACATCTACTAGTATTATAGAAATAAGGAGACAAAGAAACACATTGGGTTGGTAGTATGCCAAAGTCTAAATATTAAATTTAGCATATTGGCATCTTAATGCACCAAAGGCTATTAATTGACCTGCCCTCCTCTCTTACAATTTGTTTGTTTGCGTGTGATTTTTCATGGACAGATCGATTTTGATGACTAGAGTTGCAACTTGGGTAAGGAAAATTTGACCGAAAAGGCCATTCCCGACAATGTGTAAACTAAATCCTTTTAATTTGGAATTTTTTTGTTTTTTTGTTTTGGGTATTTGGTGATACATTCCACTAGACCTCTTCATGGGCCGGGTAGCCCAACGGGCTGGCTTGGCCCAGCCCTCGGACGGCCTTGAACATAAATTTGAGCCCATAGGCTTGACCTCGGGTCTAAAAGCTCGAGCCTAACTATTTTACGGGCGGGGCTTGGAATTTGTTAAAAAAGCCTAGCCCGGCCCGACTTTTAGGTTAAATAAAAAACCCTAAATATCCTAAGTTCCTAACTCCTCTCTTCTCATTCTTCTCTTTCTAGCTGACCTCTCATCTCAGTAGTGGAACACTCACCAGCGCAACCTCACACTCTTAGGCAGACAAAACCGGCAAATAGTCACCGACGCAACCAGCGAATTCCGACGGACCGGGGGTGAGTCCTCTCTCTCTCTCTCACTTCTTCTCTCTCATAATCTCAGACGCGAACTCAGGCACCGACGAGGTGGTGAACATAGGCATCAGTGGCAACGATGAATCCTCTCTCTCTCACAGATGCAAACTCAGCACCAGCGAACACTGTCACCGGCGGTGAGTTCTTTCTTCTGTTAGGTTGGGCTTTAAGCTCGGGCTTGAGCCATGTTGTAGGCCCATCGATCGAGCCGGGCTTAGGCTTGGGCCTAACAAAATCATGTTTATAAAGAATAAAAGCCTGGCCCGAGCCGGCCCGACCCATGAACAAATCTACATTCCATTAATAACTCATTTTCCAAAGACAATAATTGCAATAATTGAATCCATGTTTATGCTAAACCAAACCAGCTAACATACCAATTAATTGCTGACTCACCACTCAATTCAACTTGGAATCTAGGAATGCAACTTGGGGTTGGACCTATTCAAAATTTGACAAAACCCCAATCAGAACTCGCCCAAGTTGCTAGGTCGTTTTTAATATATTTATATTTATTGAAAAGGGAAAATCTATGATACGTGAAAGATATGGTATCCAAAGAGTTTTCGCCAATTAAAATCTACCCATTAATTTTGATAAATAACACTTGATTTGCTATTAGGGTTGTTTACGGGTTGGATTGGGTCGATTTATTGAAGTTTTTCCAATTGACCTGACCTGGTCGGGTTACCTAAGATGGAAACCGAAACCGACCCAGTGTTAAGTAAAACCGACCTGGTCAGTTTGAATCGTGTTGGGTCGGTTTGGGATGGTTTCGGCTCTAAGTTCATCCATGCCCCCCATGGCCACCTAGTTTTTTGGAAATATATTTAAAACTGAAATATGTATTTTAGAAATATATATACATACATATATATATATATATATAAAYAWAWATATACATAGAAATGTATTGAAATATATATTTTTTGGAAATATATATCTGACATATTTCATAATATATATTTTTTAGATATAGATATTGGAATATATATTTTCAGATATTTTAGTTTTTAGTTAAGTAGGAACTAAGTCGGTTTGGTTCGGGTCGGTTTCGGTTTTCACACAAGAAAACCGAAACCGACCTGAACCATCGGTTTATGAATTTGTACAACCCGAAAACTGACCAGTGCTAATGAAAACCCGACCGACTCGGGTTGGGTCGGTCCGGGTTGGTCGATTTGGTCGGGTTGGGCCTTCTGATGAACAACCCTATTTGCTATTTAATTTATGATTCTAGTTAATTGGTAAGACATTTTTCATATATATCATATCTTTCCCATATTATAGTAGAGCCCTTTACTAAAAATGTAGAAGTATAAGATTCAGTTGGATTTAAAAAATAAATGAATCAATTTGGATCAAGGCATCTCCATTTTCTGTGTAGGGATGGCAATTTTCCCCATTTTCGACGGAGACCCAACTTCCTTGACCCATCGAGTCGAGGATGGGGATTGTTTTGGTGGGACAGGGACGGGGATGGTGATTAATAGGAATCCTCAATCGGGGCCGGGGTCGGGGATGGGGATTGAGGTCCCCGCCCCCCTCGACCCTGATTATATATATATATATATAT